TTCTATGATGTGATTAACTAATTATTATCATGAGAAAAATAAAAGATATGCAAAGACATTTCTGGAGAAACACCTAACATATTAATCGATGAAGTGGTGAAAATTAGGGGAAAATAACTTAATTCTATACCATCGGGATTGGTTTAATAAAAACATGACATCCATATGATGGTGTAGCATGAACTGTTGCTGCCCAATCTCTATCCTATTCTGTTTGTTTGTTTCTGTTATCCAAAGCTCCTGTATTGTTTGGTGCGAAATATGTTTAGTTAGTAACACTGCATTTCCTAACTTCTGCTTCATTAAACTGTGGTCAATGAACTGAAAGCAGGAGGCCTCAGATGGAACTTCCAAGTGTTAGAATTGCTGTCTAGACCCAGATGCCTTTGTTGAGTGACCACCTGGTTTATTTTTGAGCCAAAGTCTTGCTGTAGTCCAGGCTGACCTAGAACTTTTGATTGATTTCCCAGTCTCTGCCTCCTGTGAGCTGGCACTGCAGGCAGGCTGCTCCCCCAGGAAAAACTAGTCAACTTGCTCACTGCAACTGCTACGTGAGACCAAGAGAGGAGAGCCATGGTGACTAAAGCTCTAACCTCATTGGACCATTGTCGTGAAGCCAGAAACCGCCTCTCTCCAGGATATTAGGAAAACAAAATTATTATTTATACTTGCCAAACTCCATTAATGGCAGGAAAATACAATTCCTGATATGGATGCAAGATTTTGCAAACATTTAAAATTGTTTTTCTGGAAAATGTAAGCTTATACTAAATTAGGAAGTCAGGATATAAAAGTCTATGTTTTGTTCACCAAATATAATACATATCATATATAACCAACTAAGATTATAAAATACATTAAATGTTCATAGCTTGGTTTTGAGGACTGTGGGTCATCTAGTTTTGGTTATACATTTTGTTTTCTAAACTTTTAACATTGAGGGTTTTTAAAAAATATTTTATTAATCCTTTGAGAATTCCATGCAATGTGTTTTGATCATATTTTATCTCCTGTTTCTCCCCAGTTACTCTCGGATTCACTCCACTTCTCCATCCATTCCCAACTTCATGTCCTCATGAAAAGGTTTTGTTTTTATTATTTGAGAAGTTCATACATGCATATAATATGCTTTGACCAAGTCTGTCTCTTTGGTTCCTCCCCTTTCCTGCCCTGCCATCCCCTTCCCCGTCACTATTCCCTTCCAATTTAATATTAGCTGAGAAGCTGTTAGCAGTTGGTGGCTGTTGGGAGGGTATTTTCTTGAAGGATGTGACCCTTGAAAGGCTACCCACCTCCTGATAGATGGCCCTACCACCCAGGCACTTACTGGTAGCACTAAATGAGCTAAGTGGGTTTAAAATGAACATTTTTTAAATATTGCCCAACACATACATGATTGAAGTGACTATACATAGGTCAACTGTAACTTTTGGGGGTGGGGAATGAATCTACATGGACCAAAATAGTTCATAGATGTGTTACTCTCTAGTCATTTAGTTGCCATTATAGTGTTTATCTTAGTAAATAGTATGCAAAGTAGCACACAGAGAGCTGATTGATACACTATTAACATGTAAGTACCAAGAAATGGCAATACACTTAACAGCCAACATGAGGAAAGTGGTTACTCTAATTGTTGCATTCTGATCCAAAGTGGTTCGCATCCCCTAGACTGACTCCACTCACCGGAATGGGGGGACTGGCATGCTCCTCTGATCTTGAGAACAGTTCTGGGTTTAACTGTTGCATAGTTTTGTCTGAGTCTGCAGTACGAAAAATAATTTCACAGGGAACATTTGGAACAATTTAAATTATGTTAGCCTGTCAAGAACCAAGACTGAAACCTGGCATGGTCTTTAATCCCAGCACTTGTGAGGCAGAAGGAGGTTGATATCTCTGAGTTTGGGACCAGTTAGGAAGAGGAGGAGGAGGAGGAGGAGGAGGAGGAGGAGGAGGAGGAGGAGGAGGAGGAGGAGGAGGAGGAGGAGGAGAACAGCAACAGCAGCAGCAACAACAACCAAGACTAAATGATAGATCCTCTATCTGAGGAAAATACATTAAATGGGTGTTAGGAGCTGGAAACTGGAATGGGGATTTTCTGGGACAAACCATGTGCTGGCCTAGTATTATAGTACCTCCAGAAATGGTGTGAACCCCTCGCCCTGAAATAATACTGGTAAATAAAAGGAGACAAACAAACAAACAAGATTGGAGGAGTCAGTTCTTCAGATCTTCCCACTCTGCCCTGGGAGACTTTCAGACTGGCTGCCTATGTACCAAGAAGTGATGTGCAGAATGGGGAAGCTTGACATCAGCCCCTTCCTGTTTCCTGTGCTCTACATGTTATGCTCGTGGCTCACCCCTGTTCTCTTCTCTCTCTCTCTCTCTCTCTCTCTCTCTCTCTCTCTCTCTCTCTCTCTCTCTCTCTCTCTCTCTCTGTGTGTGTTTCTTCTGTGTACTGATGGGAGCTATCCTGTGAAATTCCAAACTTCATCTCTCAGTTTTTTTTTTTTTCTACAGACAAATAGAGGACTTAGTTGGATCCCTCAAATGGCAGAAGACAAAATCAGTGGTCAAGTGGCCCAGCCCCTCCCCTTTCTTAGGCACTCAGAGGCTGGCCAATGGGATTGCTATCCTCAATAGCAGTGAGTAGCTCACGACCATTCCTTCCCTCCTGGCCTGTCTCTTTCTCATTTCTTTCCTATTTTCACTTCTATATTTCTACTTCCTGAAACAACCATAAAATAACCCGAAATAAACAAATAGCCTGCCACCCAACACCACCTCAGTTTCTACTTTCAGATACTTTCAGGGGGAAAAAATAAAAAAGATAGAGACCAGGAAGGAAGCAGTGAAAGAGAGGTACATTTTTGTCCAAATTTGGGAACCCAAGAACATTAAAACAGAAGGCCTGGTGGCTTATTTGTTGCAGCTAGTGCCTCTCCCACCTGCCTCCTATAGTACCTAAAGTAGATTACAATCTTCAAAAGAAAATAAAAAGAAGAAGCTGCTAGACAATGTCACTTGGTTTCATTGCTGGGTCCTGGGATTTGGTTGCCAAAGCAGGCTTGTGTAGCAGGATATATCCATGCTACCAACCCCACACAGAAGCCTGGGGCCCTAAGACTCAGGGCCTTCCCTCAGCAGAGGCACCTCCCACCTGCTGACACACTTTTCTCTGGGAGTAGAAGAACTTCAGGACGCGTGCCCAGTCTCTGTACCCTATGAACACACACTGTATCTTCGCTCTGTGTCCTCGGCGGCAACGAAATTCCTAGTGGGAAATGCTACTGAGTCTTGTGAAGTCTTTTACCGTGTAAAATGCAACCTGGTACCACAGCCAGATGGTCGCAGAAGTGGAATCCGAGCGCAGGCAGCCTGCCCTCTAGCTCGTTCCTTTAAACATCGTGTTTGACTACCGCCTAGGGTTGGTGTTTCTATTATCACGCCTTCACTTCGTCTGCCATCTAGGCCTTCTTTGATGGATACACAGTAGTTATAATCAAAGAGAGAGAGAAAGCTTGTAAATTGTAAACGTTCATGACTGAGAGATAAGAAGGACCAGAAAAAAGAAACAGACCGTGGGAAGATAAATTAGGGCAGCGAAATACGAAGCAGCACCACGTTACGTAAAAGGCAGCCTTCTGGGGGAAACGTTCCCGGTTTGGAGGCAGACGGGGATTTAAGAGACACATAAAACACAGATCACAAAAGCAAAACCCAACAAATTGGACCTCATTGGCTCTAAAGGTTTATGCTTTGTTAATAAAGCGCTAAGAAACCGCAAAGCAACTCACACAGCGAGAGAATGTCTGCGCTAAATATGTCTGATTACTAAATATGTTTACTGATACCCAACAAGCACAAAGAATTTGTACAACCCTAAGGAAATATCACAGATGAGTAAAGTGCACATGTTTACATGTGTGTGCTTTTGGGTGTGGGGCTCTCTGAGCTGGTCAAATCTGAAGCTAACTTAGTTATTAGAACAAACTTGGACAAAATGCAGTAGCAAAGTCTGATCAGAGATAAACGTGTGGTCAAGTTCTGTTAGCTTCTGATGCTCCCTGAAGCCTGTGTCAGTTTTCTGCTAATGAGAAGAACTCCCGGTGGAATGTTTGAGAGGGTGACGTGGAAGACAAAGCTTAAAGCCACTGTAGTGATATCTGTGTTGCTTATGTGCTCTTAGTCTCTGCCAGAACCTCCGTATTATGAAGTCGGTATCTTTTATGCACAGAACACATTTAGATTCTTTTGAATGGTGGCTCTTACACTTTCTGATCTCAGGACACCTTTGAGCTTGTTTTGCTTTTAAATTTATAAACTGGCTGTGCAGCCCTGTGTAGCCCAGGTTAGGCTTGAGCTCACAGTTCACAAGGATGGACCCTTTGCCTCAGCCTTCCAAGTTGCCGTGATTATAGGCCTGTATCATCATCTTTGGTACTTTGGTCCTTGACAATTGCTGAGGAGCCCTCCAGTTCTGTGGCTTATGTTTTATGTTAATATTTACCAAATAGGAACTAGAGAAACTTAAGCTAATTTATTAATTTATTGAAAATAACAAGTGTTGAATTTATTAACATAGCAATACAATTATATATTATACATCTATACATTTATATATATATGTATGTAAATTTTATTTTTAAAGATAAAATAGGGAAGATAGAGGGTTGAAAATAAGGACAAATATTCTTTTTGTCTGTTGTTTTGTTTTGAGACAGGGTTTCTCTGTGTAGTTCTGGCTGTCCTGGAATTCAATCTGTAGTCTAGGCTGGGCTTGAACTCAGGGACCCACCTGCTACTGCCTCCAGAGTGCTGAAATTAAATCCGTGCACCACCATGGAAGGTAGAACAAAACGTTCTTCACATAATTTTTAAAAAGTTCGTGTTAAAACCACAATGAGATATGAATGCACACTCACCAGAATGCCTAAATTACAGACCAGCAAGGAAGAGCAAGTGGAACTCTTATAGATCGTTTGTATTTTTTTAAAAAAAAAAATCAGCTAATTTCTTTCTTTTTAAAATATGAAACACTTCACGAATTTGCCATGCTAATCTTCTCTGTATTGTTCCAATTTTAGTGTGCTGCAGCAGCAAGCACTAGGCAATTTCTTAAACATATACTGACCAAATAAGAATTTTACTCCTAGATTCTTACCTATGAAAAAAATGAAAGCACATCTTCCCAAGTGTATGTATGGTATAGCTGATAGTGGCTCGCTCCATAATACCTAGAAACACCACAAACATTCAGCAGCCGGCAGATGGCTAGAGAGACCAAGGCTCGTCAGCTCAGAGGAACACTACTGATCAATGGAAGGGAACACACTTCATGTGTTCAACAATGTGAATGGGTTTCCAAAATTGTGTACAAAGAACCCAGATGTAAGGAAAAGGGAAGCGGCTGTAAATGATTCAGATAAAATCTTTGGAATTGCTTTGGGGAGGAGGCAGAGGAGCCACCTACATAGGCACGGAGGGAGCTTTGGTGTGAAGGAAATCTATATCCTAATTGTCCATATAGTATACCTCTCTTAATTATAGCAATTGGTTATATGGATATATACATCTGTCAGTTCTCTTCAAACTGCACACTTATATGTATTTCATTTAGTGTGCTACTTTAATACTGTTAGTTTTTTTTATTTTCAAAGATAATGTCTAATGCTTTCAAATGTTGCAGATTAAAAAAAAGTCCATGACATCAGTCAACTGAGGACAACTAGGAGTGTCTAGAGTGTAAATTCAATAGACTTGAGGGGTCTGAAGTGGGCTGGTGGGTGGAGGAGGAAGGTGGACATGCAGAGCAATGGCTGCCCTGGCCCAGGGGGCGCTAGCTACTGGCTGCACGAGCCACAGGCTAACTTTATGGCATTGCCCCCAACTTGCTGAAATCTAAACTCTGGAAGTCGAAGGGACTAACCACTTGTTACAGTTTCCATCCGTACGGTCTCCTTGAAGCTGAGTCCTCTGTGTAGCCGTCCTTGGAGCCGGGGCCCACTGGAGGGATCTGGCTTCCTGGATGGATTGCTCTGTTCATGGGAGTATAGTTTAAAGGGTTATGAAGCAGTGTTAGTAACTTCAGGAGACAGGCCTCAAGGGGAGAAGGCAGGTCACAGTGGGCATGCCCTGGGAGAGGTTTTTGGTTTTTCCTTCTAGCCTCTTCCCCTCTCAGTCTCTCTGCCTCCTGGCCACCAGGAAGTTAGCACCTTTGATCTTCCATGGTACTTTCTAGCCCTGAGACCCAAACCAGGAGCCAGGGACCACAGACTGAAACCATGGACCAAAATAAGCCTTCCTCCTTCAAACTGATTTTTTAAGATATTTTTGATACTGCACAGAAACCTAACCTACCATTTTGTATTGCTCACTAAACATATTTAGTCATAGCAAGAAGAAGAATACAAAAATTACTTTCTTAACTATAATTTTATAGGAACAAATTTTAATTTCTGTTCTCTTTAGCCTTAAAGTTGTCCTCAGTGATTTCCAGGAAATGGCTTTCTTCCTACTAAATCTAGTAGTTCCTGCAGACATGCCTTCCCTAAGACTTTTATGATATTCGACACTGATCAGTGGTCATGGAATATAATTTTAGCTATGTAAAGATGCGTTACATTTGTTTAAGCTGTGGGATATTACTTTACCTGTGTAAAGGTATGTTGCATTTGTTCAACAATGTAAGGATGTGTTACATTTGTTTATGGTGCATTTGTTTAATGATGTAAAGATGGGTTGCATTTGTCTCAGCTTGCCTGCCTAAGGCATCTGATTGTTCTAATAAAAACCTGAACAGCCAATAGCTAAGCAGGAAGGGAGAGTCAGGGCTAGTAGGCAGAGAGGATGTGTAGAAAGAGAAATAGAGGTTTGAGAGAGAAGGAGAAGAAAATGAGATAGAAAGAGAGGGACACCCAAGGTCAGAAGCCAGGCAGCAGACAGACAGGCAGACACAAGAAACAGGAAAGTAAGACATACAGAAATAAAAGAAAGGCAAAAAGCCCTGAGCCAAAATGCAGAAGAGAAACAAGTTAAGCTATAAGAGCTAGCAAGAAACAAGTCTCAGCTAAAGTCAAGCATTCATAACAAATAATAAATCTCTGTGCCATGATTGGGGAGCTGGTCTGTGGCCTAAAGGAAAGCCTGCTACAACCGGTAATTATACTTTCTTGATGGGTGTTTGTATTAGTCAAGATTCTTTAGAATAACAGAACTTATAGAATGAATCTCTCTATGGAAAGGGGATTTACTGGAAGAACTTACAGGCTGTGGTCCAGCTAATCCAACAATGGCTGGCTGTGAACGGAAAAGCCCAAGAATCAAGTAGTTGCTCAAGTCACAAGACTGTATGTCTCAGCTGGTCTTCAAAAGAGAGGTTTGAATGCCATTGAAAGGATGGGTGTGTTAGCAAGGTAAGGGCAAGCAGACAAAGAGCAAAACCTTCTTTCTTCCATGACCTGACATAGCTTCCACAGAATGTGTGGTCCAGAAAGGAGCTCAGTTTTCCCAGCTCAAATGACCTGGATTAAAGGTGTGTCTTCCCACCTCAAAGTGAATTTCCCTACTTCAAATAAAGCAAAAATTCCTAACAGGTGTACCCTCCTTTTTTGAGTTTTAGTTAATTCCAAATATAACCAAGGTGACAACCAAGAATAGCTATCACAATTTACGATGTTTCTTTTTGGTTTCTAAGAAACTTTTCTTCCATTGTTCATTTTTAAGTTTCTCCCTGTTTGTTCCTTTGCCCACTAAAATCTCCCAGCCAATCAGTTTGGATGTTCCCTCAAACGCTATGTATTATTCCTTCCACTTTGTCTTGGTGCAGCGCGTCTCGGCCATTAGCATGCATATGATTTGCCTGCTCACCTTATTAAAAAGCAGAGTCAGATTTAGCGGGCCTAAACTGGTGTTTGAAGCCTTGCGTTTCTGACAATCATCTCACAGAGACTGCTGCTGGCCCAGGAGTACACTAAAGAAATGTGACTCCAGAGGACAGGCTACACCCAGATTAAAGTATGTGCCAGCCCAAAGACTCCACATATGACCAATCCAATGTGAAATTCAGTCACTCTCGATTCTGAATAATTCAAAACGTAAGCCTTCACATCTGACTATATCCACCCCATTCTTTGTGTTCTTGAAAAGGTATTCAATTTTCAATTCATCTTCCTGGACGCCTTTTGATAAGCCAGGAATTCACCATCTTTCCTTGGCACTAGACTTTGGAAGCCTGGTGTCTTTCTCTCATTCCCTCCTGTTAACTAGAAAAACTCTCCCCAGAGTTGGAGAATCCACTCAGTATTGCAATTTGAACTTGGCAGTTACGAGGTGTCTCAGCTGCACCTTGTTATTTAATTGCCTACAAAAGAAGAGAGCATTTATTGCTCTTGGTACTTCAACAATAGACACCAAAATTTCAAATTTTCTATGAGCTGCCCCAACACACACACACACACACACACACACACACACACACACACACACACACGTACACACCTTTAGATAAAGCAGATAAGTTGGCAGTGGACCACATAATATTTTGAAGTAATATTTTGATCAAAAGAAGACGACATTATTATTATAGCTACAGATGATATTATTTCAGGGTACCAGAAAAAGTAGACTGAATTCTTAAGCAATCTGCACCAAGATACAAATAATAGCTATTGAATAGCAAATGAACACTCTGTTATTTCTGCTGCCGAAGCGAGATAAAAAGTAATTCATGTGAGCTGTTTTGCTGAAGATGGGAAGAAATTGTGGGCTGACCATGAACCCCCAACGGTAGACGTTATTGTTTGTCCAACAATAAATGCAGATACTCAGATAAATTAAATAAGGTCAGATAGAGAACAGAAAATTCCCTTCTGAGTTTATCTTGGGAAAGCACATACTTCTGAATTATCTGACTGAGAATAATGAACTACATGGAGTCAGATTTGATCGTGCTGTTACAGCCAGAACGTTAATTTCACTTTGTTCAGGGCCATTCTTTGCCGTTTGTCCTAGGGTAGGTTCCAGGCTGGGAAGGACGATAAGAAAATGTGTGTGTTTTTGTTGTTAAATTTCTCCTTAAGTTACACAATGACAAATCTGCGTTCTTCTATTTCAGAGACTGTAGTGTAAGAGCTTGTCCTGTCCACTTGTTGGATTCTCGGGAGAGCTAAATATGACCTCTGAAATAGTTAAGATGTCTAAAGCATTTAGGGGCAGCCAGCACAGGATTATGTCTTTGTTACCAGCGTCACTGCAACTCTTTGTGATTTTCCTGACGGAAATCCACCAAGCCTCTCCATGATCAGTGGAGTTAAATCCGGCGTAGACTGACAGGTGATCGTCTTGTGTTAGACCCGCGTGCAACCAAACGTGTTGCCTCATGAGGTCCTTTAGGCTTCTTCTTTCTTTATTCATTCCTTCAACCTTACATGAATTTATCAAATATTTATTGAGCACCCATTATGGAACAGGTATTGTGATAAGTGCTAGGTTTTCAAAGACAAGTAAGACATAATACTTACCATCAAAATGGATCTAATAGGAGAGACAATGTCTACTTAAGTATAACACAAGGAGAAAGGTGCTGTTGGCATCATACCGTTGGGAGCGCACAAGGGCAGAATCCTTTGATTCAGGCTTTGTTTTTCTTTTTAGTCTTTATATCCTCTTCCATTTCTTTTCTAGAAATAGTCCCTGATTTTTCAGGATAATTCCAAGCACTGATACCCTCAGAGGTACTTGCAGGCTTCCCAAACCCCTAATTCCTGTGATGTTATGATTTCCTATGATATATTCTCCAGCATGTTCAATGCCTTCGTGTGTCTCTGTTTCCTGATTGAACACACGTTCATTGAAATCAAGGATGGAGTTTTCGTGAATGAAAGCTCACAGCTTCTAACCAAGTCGAAACAAGTCCCAGACGATGAACAAAATAATCAATATTCATCAACTGTTTCAAAGCCTGCGTGTCAAATTAAGTTTGAGACTCGACCAAAATTCTACTGAATGTTAATATAAACCAAATTGATGAAAACTGTGGGGGCACATGGGTTATTAGCAGTGGGTATTTGAACAAAACAGAGAGAATGGATTCCGGATTGGCAGCTG